ATGAAGCCAAATTGGTGCCTGAATGCCCTGGAAGAGTTGGGTCTGAGCGCTGCGTGCTCCTGTGCACGTGCCCTTCGCACAGCCTCTCTCTTTTGTACTTTTATAAGCATATACATACACACTTTAATGTACTTTTTTAAAATGTGTGGGACTGTTTTGACTTGTTTGCCTTCCTTTTGAAGGAGGTGGGAACTCTAATATAAATTATGTTGGGCTAGTAGCCCTGTGCACATCTGTGTCCATCGTGCTGCTATGTCCAAAAGCTCTGCAGGAGGATGTCTGACTTTCGCAGCAGGTGTCACTATTGCCTGCACATTAGAGAACTGTTAAACTAAAAAAAATCACGCTTTTTGTGCTTAATTGTTGATATCTTTACAGATGCAGTTAAGTGCAGTTAAATAAAATTCATAGTTTTCTTTTTTTTGCCTGCCTTAAAATACACTTGATCTGTGTGGAAATAATGAAGTAACCCAGCAGCAAAATAGTAACTGGATAAGGCAGAAGTACACAAAAGTAGTCATCTTTTTGGTATTTCATGGGATTTGAAGACACTGACTGTCTCCTCATTTGAAGAAGGCTTTACTGTTTTCTCWGAATGGAGAGAGGACGGAGTGAAACCTGGGAAGAGCTTTAAATATAAAGGCTGGATGTTTGTCTTGCCTCTAACATGAACCTGTTATTAATTTCACAGTGCTGTTGGCAATCCTCTCTTCAAACAGTGCTAACGTGTGTYTCTTTCTAACTTACAGGTGAATGAATCTAAAACTATATTAAAGCTTTGTGATTTTGGATCAGCTTCACACGTTGCAGATAATGATATCACACCATATCTCGTTAGTAGATTTTATCGCGCTCCTGAAATCAGTAAGTACATTCAGACTGGCCACATGCATCGTAAGCACTCGCAGGTTCTGCCRCTGTGAGCAAATGAGGATTTGCCCCGAGTTTATCCTCTGCCAGGTCGCAGATTCACAGCCCTTTGGAAATTAATGGTAGCCAAAAGCTTAAACCTTGTAAACATGTTTGTTTGACTCTTTGTGTATGTTGGCTGTCAGCCCAGTGAGGATGGGGGGAAACGTAGTTTTGTTTTCATCAGAGGTATTGCTCTGACTCTTTGKTTTTTAATAGCTTTATTTATGGCAATTGGGTAGGATGTTAGCTTAACAGAAAAGAAAAATCCCTTTCTAAGACAGGGATCCTGTAAACATGAGAAAGGTGCTTCCTTCTTTTATGGTGCTTGGATGCTCCCAAGAGCAGGAGCACCAACATAGTTTCCAAATCAGAATATTTTTTTCTCCTTTGCTRTTGCAATATGTACTGTTACAGCTGCATTTATGGGGGCTAACTTGATTTGCTCTCTTTCAGTTATAGGAAAAATCTATGACTATGGTATAGATATGTGGTCTGTAGGCTGCACATTATATGAACTTTATACAGGAAAAATACTCTTTCCTGGCAAAACCAATAACCATATGCTGAAAYTAGCCATGGATCTCAAAGGAAAGATGCCAAACAAGGTAAGAAAAAAAGTTTATAGTTTTCACTGACACCTGAACTTACTGAATTGAACATACTTTTTTTCTCCTTTGATTCTGTTTCTTATCATATACATCTTCTCTTAACAGCCAGTAAATATCAGACATCCCTCTGACTGTATAATTTATATTGATTTAAAATCTTATGAAGTGAAAGTGTACAGCTTCTTTTTCATAGACTAAGTAGAAAGTGAAAGCAGAAACCTTCTAAGCACTGACCTGAAAAAAGATACGTAAGTCAATGGAAGATACTGTGTCCTTTTTCAACTGGTTTGGACTGCATTATTTTTCATTCAATCTCTAGTCATTTCTCACTGTCCTATTAATGTATTTTTAGGAGTATTAAATTATTGATGTTGCAGTTAATTAGTAGATGTTGATGTTAACTGTGGGATTTGCAAGACTTGGGGAACTTACCTCAGATTTTTGCCTCCCGTTTTTTCCAGATGATTCGAAAAGGTGTGTTCAAAGATCAACACTTTGATCAAAATCTCAACTTTATGTACATAGAAGTAGATAAAGTGACAGAAAGGGTAAGTCCTTTAATGTTCAACTGAATTATTACTTTTTTTCAGAGATTTTTCTACTACAATGGTGCTTTCAACCCACTTAAAAATAAGAATTTGAAAGGTGTTAACATGTCCTGTGGAAGCGGTTTGTATAGATTATGTGGGTGTAGTCTGGCAATAAAAATTCTTCCCATACTTGAGTAACTTGATGTTTAAGAAAAATCAGATTTTCATCTTTTTAGATATGAACATGTCTTGATACAACTTTCCTGCAATTACTGATAAAAATATTGTGCCCTTCTGTTTGTGAAGAATGTCCAACTTAAGTGTGAGCTGGAGGAGGTCGCTMTTAGTTTCTGTGCAGTTTTAACATTGGAAACGTGTCACTGTCCTGGAACTACTGATGAGGTGTGGGATGCTCTCTCTCTCTGCAGGCTTGGCCGTGTTCTCAGTTAGCTGAGGCTTTAGGGTTATCTGCACCTACTGTTGATAGGAAAAATAGTCTGGCCTTTCCCGGCTGTTCTTCTTATCCTCACACTTTCCCTTTGCCTATACGAGGGTTTGTGAGGCCATAGGATGAACCAGACTGGGGAACTGATGAGACAAACCCAGCAGAGAAGTTGCTCCTTAAGCCCTGTGAAACCGAGGGGGTTTTGTGCACTGCTTCTGCTCTACAAGGTTACCATTTTTGTATCCGTAGGAGAAAGTTACTGTTATGAGCACCATAAATCCAACCAAGGACCTGTTAGCAGACTTGATTGGGTGCCAGCGCCTCCCAGAAGATCAGCGTAAAAAAGTGCACCAGCTAAAGGACTTGTTGGACCAGATTCTAATGTTAGACCCGGCTAAACGGATTAGCATCAACCAGGCTCTTCAGCACGCCTTCATCCAGGAAAAAATATAAACCAGATGAAGAAGCTCAAAGGGGTTGAGTAATTAAGATGCAAAGACTGAAGAAATTTCACAGCAGTTATTAATGTATATAAACATAAATATTTCCCCTGCAAAGTTGAGGAAGAAATGATACATTTGAATTAACATCAAGGCCGATATTTCTTTTAGAAATGTTAGAGTAATTCTGTTTTGTGTCTTATGTGAAGATTTTCACTGTAGAACTGTTTTAATTGCCAAGACTGCACAGAAGTACAATGCTAATGTAAATCGTTGCAGTTCGTATATATTATAAAAAGACAAAGCATCTGTTATAAAAAAAAGAGAAAAAAAACAAGAAAACAAAAACCGAGAGCAGTAATACTGGGTGGTTGATTTGTTTTTAGCAGACTTGGCTTCATTTTTTGTCTTGAAAAAATGGCCAGCATAAATGCTGTTTATATTCACGTTTTCCTAGGTGTGTGTGTGCAGGCCACAGCAGCATGCCCTTGGTGTAGTCAGTGCCGAAGGGGGCCTGTTCCTTCTTGAGCCTGCCCGCAGGGATGGTCTCCTCTTTTAAAGCAGGTTGTGTACAACTTTCAGTACACTGAAGGTAAGCTAACCCATCAGCATCACCGGTGTTTAAGCTGTTGTTTTACTGGAACGACTGACAAATGAGAGGCAGTAGCGTTGGGGCAGAACTCCCTGCATGTTTGATAAATGCTCTTGTTTTCTTTTCTGGCATTACGACCGTGGCATAGTTACAGCTTCCGTTCTGTTCCTCACACGTAAAATTTGGAGAGCGCGCACTTGATGGATAGAGCGCCTTCAGTGTACTGTTTCTTATTACTTTAATTTTTTTAATCAACTTGCTATAGACTTTGTATACGTTTTGTTAAATACAGTTCACTATGACATAGAGCCGATACTTACAGAAGAGTTTTCATTTAGTAATTACCTATGTTGGGATCTCATTCGAAAGACCTTATATCTAAAGGATAGATAGACAACATAATGAAATTTTTAACTATTTGTATGTCATTTTGAAAGTGTACTGCTTTATGCTAAAAGTGTTTCATTTGTTCATTGTTTTCATTATTTGTGATCATGTTGTCTTTCAATACAGGCATAAACCTTCCACTCTTGAACAAAGCAGCTGCTTTTTAAAAGCGGTAATTGCTTCTTTACCTTTTATTTCTTTTGTAAATGAAGCTTTTCTTTAAGAAATGTGACTTTAAAGTGTTGTCTCTTGCATAAAACAGTTGACACTTACTTATTGTAAAGTGAAGATTGTTCTGCTGCATGTAAAGTGGACCATGCAGATTTCTGTATGTTTTCAGTATGCATCATTAGATAATAAAGTCTTTTGTGAACAAGGCATTTGTAGCCATTTTTAAAAGAACCTGTCTTCAGTGATGGTAAATCAGGTAATTTTTAAGAACCACCCCTGCATTTTTCTATTAATCGCTTAATTAAAGGGTTTATTAGAATTCTCATTTTGAGGAGTGCTATAAGCTATGCTAATTATGTATCTAATTATCACTGCTTAAAGAAAACAAAAAAACTCTACAGATACTGTCTGTCTGCTTTCATTGTAATGAAATTATTCCTGTAGGACGTGGGATTAAATTCAGGATTTAACTAATGTTTGTGCTGTTTTTCTCACTTTTCCTTTTGATGGTGCTGAAAGAGAAAAAGGAAAGCGAGGCACAGGCCACCCAACGCCTACTCCATGGGTCTGGTTTGCTGAGACACCAACTTCACCTTCCTAACAAGGTTATTTCTGACAGCATGTGTAGATAAACATTTAGCAACCAGTTAAAAACAGCTTGAAACATTTGTGAGTTGGTTATGCAACATGAGGAGTCCAGAAATCAAACCTCAGCTCCGTACTGCTGTTKAATAGTTCTCTTTTGCAATATTTAGAAGTTCATCTTTTCATTTTTGCTAATGTATTCTGAAAAGGTGCGCAGAACCCACTGGTTTCATGTATTTTGTAATACTGCTTTAAACTAAGGAGGGTTTTTGTGTCCCTCTAGGTACATAATGGCAGCAGTCGTGCACTCTTAGTGCACTCAGGAATGGAAAAATGAGGCAAAGCAGTCATGCTGCTGGTGGGACATACCCCACCGAGGAGATGTAATGAGCTAACTACAGAAACAGGCAGGAGACGGGTGGCTTTAGTTATTATTTGGCACTGTCTACCTGTCTCTTCTCGATTTATATTCTAATTAATATTTTTATTAATGAAGTAATCTGTTCTTATTACCAGATACTGAGGTACTTTTTCATGCAGGAAATAGGAAATGCAGCTTTCACATTTAATGAAATACTAGTTGCTTGCTAGCTAAATACAGAAAGTAACTTGCCCTGGCCCAAAGTAGGCAGCCCWTCTGGTGGCAGTTTTACACAGATGTAGTAAGAGCCTGTTTTCTCTGTTGCTTTGTATTTTATTCTTAACATAGGGATATAGAACAAAGAAATGAGTTGGTGATACAGAAAAACATGCAATAGAAACAGTGCACCTTAATGCCTACAGAACTGTCTTAAGCTAATCTGAAGAAGCATAAAGTTGCTCGTTTACCTGTTCTTTGTGTTGTAGGTGCAGCTCAAAAGAAGACGACGACTACCAGAAGACATGAACAAAGGTTTCTGTCCTATTAAAGATACGAAAATATTCTTCATGTAGCTCTGTCTAATCTTTTGGTTTCCAGCATTCCAGTTTGTAATTGATTAACACTGCTGCTGTATTCTTCCTTACTTAGAATATACTTACTGTATTAGTGCCTGTTACATAGAGTGATGGCTTATTTTCTGGTTGAATTTTTTTTTATTGTGGTTAATGTAGGTAAATAAGCGTTACCATTCAGTGCCATTTTCTTAAAATGATAAAACGGCCATTCCAAAACCTGTCATTGAGAAAAASGTGTACCATTTTTATTAAAATCCATTTTTTAAACTAACAAATGTTTAAGCAGATGATGCACTYTTGAGGTTAAGCAGGATCCTTTCTTGTTTTAGTTCTGTCCCTCTTTTTAGTTCATAAACCAGAGACTGGCTGATACTGGRTTTCTCGTAAATAGGGGATTTGAGTCCTCTGCTTGAAACAGCTTCAGCCTTTTTCTTTTGGCAGCAATGGAGGGTCTTGAATCCTGGCTTCAAAAGCCACTAGAATAGCAGCCTCCCTTGTCACTGTGAAGGAACCCCTGCAGTTGAGGCAGGACCTGTCCCTTGGAGCCCTTAGTTGAAACTGCAGCAAACTGAATTGCAGTGCTTGCAGCTTGGACCAAGTTAAACAGCTGTGCAACAGTCTTGTCAAATTACTCTTCAGGAATAAGTAATCTGTGAAGGAGGATAATTACTCTGTTCCTCCTATATATAAAAACCTAATTGACTCTGCCTCCCTGAAGCTCAGTTCCATCGACTGTGCTGACTCCCATTCCCTTCTCTGTAACAGTGRCCAGCAGCTGCACGTTCAGCACGCTGGGCTGGGCCAGCATCTGGAAAAGCTCTGCCCTGCTCCCTGCCCTTTGCTCTTCCTAACCCCCATCCCCAAGGACAGACACGAAAGGCTCTTTTTTTTAGTGCTGAATCAGATGCATAGGCAGTTACAATCTCTTTATATATTTTTTTATATATATATAACTACAGTGTATGCTACTTTAAAAACTGTTTAAGAGCATTTGAYAATAGAATATAATGATTCTTTGAAATCCTTCTTAATAATACTTTATCTCCATACATAGGGTAAGTGGCATTATACATCTGAAGAACCTTTATGTATATATTGATCCCTACACAGAAGGCAAACCCGTATGTGAGACTGCTGGAAAAAGAACAATCTTCTACAGTATGTGTCAAACTGTAACTGGGAGCGGATGGTGTTGGGAAGCAACAATTGCTTGAATAAAAGAAGCTTAAAACTGACTTGTATCYTGTCTTCTGTTCTGCTTACAGAGCTTCTAAATATTTGAAAAAAAWTTAAATGCACTAAAAATGAAGCTTAGTTCTTTGAATTGTCTGCCTAGTTATTAAAGTTCTTGGAGATGTATTGATACAGCTTAACAGGGGAGAATAGAGTGCACTATTTGGTAGAGGTCACTAGCAAACTCYTGAGGTGATGACAGAGTTGGCCTCTATAAACCGTGTAACAAAGGGTTTCATGTGGCCTTTGGTTCGTTGTGGAAGATGGGAAGCTTCTTCCATAGCTTCCCTGTGCAAGCCTGAAAAATCTAAAATGAGGAAGAATGCAGGAATTCTGTTCCACACAATCCCAAAACACCTGCTTCTTAGACTGTTCCAGTCATTGCTTTCTTGAAAAGATCYCATGTGTTTGGAAGCATCTCCTGTGTAACTACATATATAGGAACCACATAGATATCGAAAATAAATTGAGAGACAGAGATGGAATAAATTCTATGTATAACCTGCTTAGGTGTGTGTGTTAAATGGAGCTATTTTCATGTCTTAACATTTGTTTACCTGCTGATTCTTTTAAGTCCTGTCAGCAACAAAAAACGGGTGGGGCTTGGCTTTGATTTCCCCCTGCTTGCTTGCTCTCCCTTTGCCTCCCCTGGCACTTTCACCCTTTCTTTCTGGAAGATACTCACCTGAGTGGCTTACAGAATTGCACGAATTACACTGTATCACAGTGAGGGAAACCGTGAATGTGCCSAATTCCTGTATTTGTAGGTATTCTTCATAAGAAGGAAACAAGTCAAATGGGAGAGTCAGCTTGTAGAAATGGGATGGGGTATGCRTATTTTCAAAGATATAACATGTAAATTATCCTTTAAGTCATCACTCTGAGAATACGGGTGGTACTTATTTAGAGGTAATAAGAAATATCACATGCAGGTGTGATGGTTGAAAAGCTGTAGCGTTGAAAGCTATTTGCTTGAGCCTTTGCTGAATGATCATGTGATGGGCACTTGATTTTTTGGAATAGTATTCCATTATATACCTCAAAMTATTAGGAGTATGCAGAAAGGATACTAGTTTCAAAGAAGCAGTGCCTRCAAATTCTTCAGAAAACTAAATCTCTACAAGTTTTTTAATAACTTTCACATACTTTGTTTCATGCAAGTCTGAACTCTCACATAGATCTCTTTGGTCAGTCAATACTGTAATCTTTCCACTGAGGCTGTTTATATGTAGGTGGTCTCCAGTCCCAGCTTTCTCCTGCGGACTCCCTAACCCCAAAGAGAAGCTAGGCTCTTTTGGGGGYTCCCAAGAGAGGAGGGCTAGGCTAAGTGCTCCTCGGGCTCCTCTGTCCTCCCACCACGTGCTGTGTATGGGCCTGGAGGGCCGCTCAAAGGGCCCTGCTAGTATCTTCATGTTAAGAATGAGGAAAGACCACAAGATCCTACATCTGGTGGTCCTTCCGTACAAGCTGCCCTGGTTCAGGCTGGGCAAACCTACCTCTCTCTTTAGAAAATAAAGCACGCTGATTAACCAGGGGCATGTCAGAACATTCTTACGCCATATTGGGAAAGGAAATGGATTTTAACATAGACTAGAAGTTAAACTTTTTGATGTGTTCTACAACTGTTTGAAAGCCTGTTTAGATGGGCAGCTGTAATAGACCTCAAGCAATATCCTGTCTTTTTGGAGAGGTAAATTTGTCACAGAATCTGATACCTCAACAGGCAGAGATACGAATTCGTAAGATTGAGGATGAAAGTGCATTTCTGTACCAAAGGGAAGGATGATACTGAGAAGGTCACCAAATACCTCAGTCTCCGAACGCTCCCAGTCTGGATTTGACATTGTGCATTTTCACCCTCCTAACAGTTCCAGTCCTTCTCCTAACAGGCTCCTTGCAAGTCTCACTGAATAAATTCAGGTGCGGCACTTTTTCCATCTCTGGTAAACGAGAGAACACTTTTACCTCAGGACCTTCTAAGGACAGATCAAAGCCTAATCTATCCTGTTTTGAAACAGCTCCCTTTTGTAAAGACTATTGGGAGCAGTGGGGAAGAGGAGAGAAAATCAGAATATGGAAATATTTTCATGTCTGGAGATTGATTCCTCAATTCTTTTGTATAGCATCTGATTTAAAGTTCAAAATTTTTTATATATATATTTTGTTTCTTAACTAATACTAATGTCAGTTAACATTGCTTTTTAATAATTTTGATGGTAAACCATCACCTTTTCATTCTTAGATGCATTGTTTTCTTCATTTAAAAGACTGTCCTCTGCGTTAGCATTTGTAACCCCAAACTATATTGGAAATCTGAGAAAGTATCTTCACTGCTATGTTCAGTCGTAGAATCAAAACTAGCAAAACAAAAAAAGGTTTCAGCTCTAGTACTGAAAGAAAAGTCTCCTTTTGGCCAGTAGATTAGTGATGGTGGCTGCTGAAGATCTGGGTAAGGTGMCATTTAACGTTGATTCACATGACCTCCTACAGCATGATTTACAGCCAAGAAGTTTAAAAACTCGTGTGAGTTGAAGGGAAACCTTGTGTTCTAATGTCCTAATGGGACCTAATGTGCCTGAGGAAGGAAATAAAGAGAAGTAAAGCAGACCTTCCATTGAGAGGAATAAAACGTCTTCAAGGTGAGATAGGGGCCATGCTGAATTAAGTGAGGATCTTGACTATATTAGGTAAGCGGAGGGTGCAGCTCTTAGCATCTCACGGCATAAGAAGGAAAGCCTTTCCTTCCTTTCCTTCCTCCATTTATTTGGAATTTGCAGCTATTCTGCTTTAATCAAATAGCAGCTGTGAACTACTTGCTCAGACTGGTTTTCAACGCCCATGTGCAACCAAAAGCCAACTCCGCTTCTCTCACATATAAAAGCAAGATTGCTGATTTTTATTTGAAGATCAAAAGCTAGGTGTCCCGTTACATTACCTTTCTGTTTTTCTTTTCGATGTTTTACCTATTCAACTTGTGACTCATCCACTCTATTGTAATAAAAATGTAAATTTTATTTGAAAAGAAATCTCATCTTCTACATGACAAGGGGTGTTCCCAAAAGGAATGTTTGTTCTCTTAGCCTACATGAGTCATGTTCAGCTTCAAAAGACTGAACCAACATCGTGTGCGAGATTTGCAAGTTATTTCAAGACTCCCACAGAAGACTCCTATCGGGTTTAGCTTCTCATGCAACTGTGCCACAAAAAARGCGGCAGGAGGGAAGGGGCCATTGCTGTGCTGCTCCTGCAGGAATCACAACACAGTGCTTAGTTTTGCTTTTCCAATAGACCGTAAACCAAAGCAAACACTAGCACACGCTGGGAGATCAAAACACAGCTAACAAACTACTGCAGCTGCGTAGTGCTCYGGGGCTGCCCTGCTCCTTCGCAGCTGACACCGCATGAAAGACATTCTGCTGTTGTTCAAAACAACGTATTGTGAAGTTTTGTACTAGAAACTATCATGTGCCCTAATACAGCAAGATGCCGGGCAAAATAACAAAACCTGCAGCATTCTCGTTTCATTTGCAGGGCACCCAGTCTCCTTTGTCCCAATAACCCAATGGGAAGCACCCAAGAGTACTGAGGGAATTGGCCGGGGTTATTGCTCAGCCGCTCTCCATCATCTCCGAGAGGTCCTGGAGAGCAGGGGAGGTGCCGGAGGACTGGAACATGCTACAGCATGAAAGGGAAAAGCAAAGGAAGTCTGAAAGGCACAAAGGAAACCATGGAGGGCTTTAAGCTGGCAAAGCATGAAAGGCAGGTGAGGGAGTTAACTAAAGTTTCTGTTGTTTCGTGGTCTGTCATCCCCACCATGAAAATAACGTTRTCTGCCTTTTGTGTGTTTGAGTGCTATGTAAGCCACCTGACTGCCACAGCGCTTTGCTGGGAAGGGAAGCAGAGTGGACAAGCAGCGCTCACTGTGGTTCTCCTAATTTCCAGGCTCCTTCCACCAGAGAGAGGTATGCATATTTTAACTGTTTTCCTCATTTTCTATAGAGGAAAATTCCAAAGGAACAGGTGCTCCAGGAATGTCCTGTAACGGAAGGTGCAGTCTCAAGGAGCTTCTCCCTCAAYGTTTTGAATCGTGTAGCTCAGAAAGTTTGTAAAATCTTTTGAAAAGCCTTTCTAAAGCCTGTCATTTGTGCACTGACTGCTAGCTAMAGCACAGAGCAGCACAATTCAGGGCAATTCCTCATCTAATGATAGGTAGAAGCATCAGAAGAAAATTCAGTAGTAGTAGTATGAGTGCAAAGGATATTCTCTACATTACAATTCATCCTGCTGATTTTGAATAATCCAATTCCATGAGATGATCTGGAGACTTGGTGATCACATATTTTAAAGGAGGAAGTATTCTTCTGCAATATCCCACTCATTCACGAAAACATTGACCAAAGCAGCATCACTGACTCACAGRGCCCAAACCATGACCTCCCAATTCAATAACCTCATGACTAGCAGTGGAGCTTTTCCACCAAATACACATTTTACAGTGTGGTTTAGTCTAGCTCACATTTCAGGGCAGCACAAGCCCTTCTAAATTTTGAATTTACCACTGTTTGCTTATACACCAAGTCAGTCACACTACTAAGAGAAATAAGTTCGGTTTGATGTTGCTTGTCCTTGACAAACACAGACTGTTTCATTCTGTTTTGTTATTACAGAATAGGAAGGAAAATTCCAAGAAACTCCCCACTAACGTGATGTACCTAATATTCTTTCGGTTGCATCTCCTCGGACGATAGTAGGCTTTGATACAAAACTTTAAGTGTGTAAGACCTGTCCTTGTATCACATCAGAAAGGTAAAAGGGTCAGGGCTAGTGCAATAGTRTGATCACACTGCAGTTTCTGCTCTTTTGTTGCTCAAATATCTGCGTTTTTGA